TGAAATATCATATTTTTTACTATTTCTATAAGACATTATTTCATTGAACTTTTTTCTATTTCAGAAAAATAAAAAACTGGCTTGGGAAAAGTAATAAAAAAGCAGAAAATACACCTATGTAGCATAGAAACTACTCAAAATTGTTATAAATTTTGTGGTTGGCTTCAAATAATGTCTTATTGAAATATCATATTTTTTACTATTTCTATAAGACATTATTTTATTGAACTTTTTTCTATTTCAGAAAAATAAAAAACTGGCTTGGGAAAAGTAATAAAAAAGCAGAAAATACACCTATGTAGCATAGAAACTACTCAAAATTGTTATAAATTTTGTGGTTGGCTATAAATAATGTCTTATTGAAATATCATATTTTTTACTATTTCTATAAGACATTATTTTATTGAACTTTTTTCTATTTCAGGAAAAATAAGAAACTGGCTTGGGCAAAGTAATAAAAGAGCAGAAAATACACCTATGTAGCATAGGAACTACTCAAAATTGTTATAAATTTTGTGGTTGGCTATAAATAATGTCTTATTGAAATATCATATTTTTTACTATTTCTATAAGACATTATTTTATTGAACTTTTTTCTAGTTCAGAAAAATAAAAAACTGGCTTGGGAAAAGTAATAAAAAAGCAGAAAATACACCTATGTAGCATAGAAACTACTCAAAATTGTTATAAATTTTGTGGTTGGCTATAAATAATGTCTTATTGAAATATCATATTTTTTACTATTTCTATAAGACATTATTTCATTGAACTTTTTTCTATTTCAGAAAAATAAAAAACTGGCTTGGGAAAAGTAATAAAAAAGCAGAAAATACACCTATGTAGCATAGAAACTACTCAAAATTGTTATAAATTTTGTGGTTGGCTATAAATAATGTCTTATTGAAAATATCATATTTTTTACTATTTCTATAAGACATTATTTTATTGAACTTTTTTCTATTTCAGAAAAATAAAAACTGGCTTGGGAAAAGTAATAAAAAAGCAGAAAATACACCTATGTAGCATAGAAACTACTCAAAATTGTTATAAATTTGTGGTTGGCTATAAATAATGTCTTATTGAAATATCATCTTTTTTACTCTTTCTATAAGCCATTCTTTCATTGACCTTTTTTCTATTTCAGAAAACATAAAAAAACTGGCTTGGGAAAACGTCCTAAAAACAGCAGAAAACTCCACCTATGTAGCATCGAAACTACTCAAAATTGTTATAACTTTTGTGGTTGGCTATACTAATGTCTTATTGACATATCCTATCCTTTTCTATAAGACATTATTTCATTGAACTTTTTTCTCTTTCAGAAAAACTCAAAAAACTGGCTTGGGAAAAAGTAATAAAAACGGAAAATCCTATGTAGCTAGAAACTACTCAAAATTGTTTACCCTTTTGTGGTGGCTATATCATGTCTGATACTTTTTTCTATTCTTAAGCATATTCATGACTTTTTTCTATTTCAGAAAATAAAAACTGGCTTGGGAAAAAGTAATAAAAAAGCAGAAAATACACCTATGTAGCATAGAAACTACTCAAAATTGTTATAAATTTTGTGGTTGGCTATAAATAATGTCTTATTGAAATATCATATTTTTTACTATTTCTATAAGACATTATTTCATTGACCTTTTTCTATTTCAGAAAAAATAAAAACTGGCTTGGGAGAGTAATAAAAACAGCAGAAAATACACCTATGTAGCATAGAAACTACTCAAAATTGTTATAAATTTTGTGGTTGGCTATAAATAATGTCTTATTGAAATATCATATTTTTTACTATTTCTATAAGACATTATTTTATTGAACTTTTTTCTATTTCAGAAAAATAAAAAACTGGCTTGGGAAAAGTAATAAAAAAGCAGAAAATACACCTATGTAGCATAGAAACTACTCAAAATTGTTATAAATTTTGTGGTTGGCTATAAATAATGTCTTATTGAAATATCATATTTTTACTATTTCTATAAGACATTATTTTATTGAACTTTTTTCTATTTCAGAAAAATAAAAAACTGGCTTGGGAAAAGTAATAAAAAAGCAGAAAATACACCTATGTAGCATAGAAACTACTCAAAATTGTTATAAATTTTGTGGTTGGCTATAAATAATGTCTTATTGAAATATCATATTTTTTACTATTTCTATAAGACATTATTTCATTGAACTTTTTTCTATTTCAGAAAAATAAAAAACTGGCTTGGGAAAAGTAATAAAAAAGCAGAAAATACACCTATGTAGCATAGAAACTACTCAAAATTGTTATAAATTTTGTGGTTGGCTATAAATAATGTCTTATTGAAATATCATATTTTTTACTATTTCTATAAGACATTATTTCATTGAACTTTTTTCTATTTCAGAAAAATAAAAAACTGGCTTGGGAAAAGTAATAAAAAAGCAGAAAATACACCTATGTAGCATAGAAACTACTCAAAATTGTTATAAATTTTGTGGTTGGCTATAAATAATGTCTTATTGAAATATCATATTTTTTACTATTTCTATAAGACATTATTTATTGAACTTTTTTCTATTTCAGAAAAATAAAAAACTGGCTTGGCAAAGTAATAAAAAAGCAGAAAATACACCTATGTAGCATAGAAACTACTCAAAATTGTTATAAATTTTGTGGTTGGCTATAAATAATGTCTTATTGAAATATCATATTTTTTACTATTTCTATAAGACATTATTTCATTGAACTTTTTTCTATTTCAGAAAAATAAAAAACTGGCTTGGGAAAAGTAATAAAAAAGCAGAAAATACACCTATGTAGCATAGAAACTACTCAAAATTGTTATAAATTTTGTGGTTGGCTATAAATAATGTCTTATTGAAATATCATATTTTTTACTATTTCTATAAGACATTATTTTATTGAACTTTTTTCTATTTCAGAAAAATAAAAAACTGGCTTGGGAAAAGTAATAAAAAAGCAGAAAATACACCTATGTAGCATAGAAACTACTCAAAATTGTTATAAATTTTGTGGTTGGCTATAAATAATGTCTTATTGAAATATCATATTTTTTACTATTTCTATAAGACATTATTTCATTGAACTTTTTTCTAGTTCAGAAAAATAAAAAACTGGCTTGGCAGAGTAATAAAAAAGCAGAAAATACACCTATGTAGCATAGGAACTACCTAAAATTGTTATAAATTTTAAATTTTCGAAATAAATAAAAATAAAAATTAAATAATTTTTAACGTTGTCGTCTTGAGACAGCACGCTCGGAGAGCGCGCGTTGTTTCTAGTAACCTTATTGAACAAAAAAATTAATTTGGAAGAAGAAAATTTTTTTGGAAGTTTGGTGACTGTCTTCAAAATTCCAATTCGTCATTAAACTTTCATTTTGATCGCACGAAATGTTACCGAACTTTCACTTGCACGTATATATACTACTATATAAATTTCTGGTGTCTATCTGTCTGTACGGGGTAATCTCCAAAACGGTTAATTCGATTGCGACCAAATTTAACAGATATGTAGAGGGGGTTGTTCGGAAAGTTATATGCTACTTTTTGTTAATGTGAATTGTTTATAACAATTAAATTTGTTATAAACAATTGAAAACAGGATTTATTCAATTTGAGATCTTTCAGCGGGAAATTTTTTCTTTTACTGAAACAATGTTATCCACTGTGTAAAATGAATATAAACATACTTTTTTTGTTCGTAACATACCATTTGTTGTAAAAGAACAGAAATTGAGTTTTACGATCATTTCCTTTCATCATCAGTAAGAGTGCTCCTGTAACTGGAGGAGTTACCCAGTGAACACAGAGTGTAAATGTGACAGTCACCAAAATTCCATATCAATACTATTCGTTTTAATCTTCAATATCCGTTATTAGGTAAAAAATTAAATAACTAATTGTGATAAATCTATTTTTTGTAACAAATTTTGATATTTCCTCAGTTATTCTGCTCCTTTTAGATTCTTGAAGAACAGAACTTATTATATTATATGGTTTTTAACCGCATATCCGACATTTATCGTATTTTTTTGTTACTGTAGATTTTAAAATTATTTTGGAAGTTTGATGACTGTCACCAAACTTCCATAATCGTTGTAGGGAAGTTTGGTGACAGTCACCAAAATTCCAATTCGTCACCAAACTTCCACTTTGGTCGCACAAAATGTTACCAAACGTCCACTTGCATGTATATATATATATATGTATATATATACTTCTACTGTTATACAAGAGGAACGCTTCAACTTCATAGCTATAGATATTATATCAACGTTACTATGTCAGTAACGCGGATGATTTGGTGATGTGAACTTACAAGTTTGTCCCCTACTAAAAATTGCTCCAACGTGCCTAAAGAAGTTTTCACTTCAAAAAGAAATGAAATCCGCACAAAACAGGCATCTTGGAATGCCTGTAAAAACTGGCGCCAAGTCCACATTCAAGTAAAATTAGTATAAATGGAAAAAAGGTAAGATCAAAAAAATATGTGAAATCAAGTAAAACGCCAAGTTAGCTGCGTCTTTTTTCATAATTTTTTCGAACTAGCAATGTACTATTGACTTATAAAATTTCAGTTAATTTTGAAGTACAAAAAAAAAATCTTCAAAACCAAAAAACTATGGAACTTGGCCCAATTTTTAAAATTCTTCCAACAGTTCCATATATTATAGTTCGTACATAAGAACATTTGAAACTGAATTGGGCAGACTTTAAAGACGAAATTGGGCCAAGTTCCATAGTTTTTTGGTTTTAAAGATTTTTTTTTTGGTACTTCAAAATTAACTGAAATTTTATAAGTCAATAGTACATTGCTAGTTCGAAAAAATTATGAAAAAAGACGCAGCTAACTTGGCGTTTTACTTGATTTCACATGTTTTTTTGATCTTACCTTTTTTCCATTTATACTAATTTCACTTGAATGTGGACTTGGCGCCAGTTTTTACAGGCATTCCAAGATGCCTGTTTTGTGCGGATATTAATATCTTCTAGAATTAATTCTTTCAAATATGCACTTCAGATAATGTGCAAGAAATTAATGAATACCGAAGACAATTAGAAAGTGAAAATAACACCAACGAACAGGAACCCGATATTCAGGAAGAACCTAACCTTGAAAAGAATAAAGAAGCAGTAATCAAAAGAAAACGAAATAAACAAGCAGTCTATTCTCCAGATGAATTAACTTGCTCGATACTAAAGAATGTAAAATGTAAACCCAAAGAATCTGTAAGTAATAATGTTTATTTCATAAAATTGAGAACGTTATTATCATTTTTTTAGAGTTTATTTTATTAAGACGTTTGATGGAAGGTGTTTTTCGACCAGAAAAAATTACTCATTGTACTTTAACCGGAAACCCTGGTCGAGGACAAGGACTTAATATCGATGAATGTGAACGACTTCATCCTAGAGCTGTAGAGGCTATAATTAGTAATATAACGTTTTTTTCGAAAAAATATTTGATCGTTTCTAGTGTATAGCCATATAATGCTTATACTAATTTTTTTTTCACAGAGAAAGCAAAATCACTGCATAAAAGAGCTGTTCCTAAAAAATCATTTCTCCATGCCCAAAAAGTACAGGAAATAATGGGCCAAAAATTGTGGGAAATGAAAGCCGCTGGAAAGGCTCGAATAAACAAAATGAAAATAGAAGAAGCAGAACAAAAAAATCAAGAAGAAACTCAACAAGAAAATCGAAAAGAAACTCAACCACAAAGTTAACAATAAATTTAATAAAAAATTTAACAAAAATATTAACAATAAATTTAACAATAATATTGTCAACAATACCGAGAAAAAAAATTATTTCTGGTAGTTAAAAGTGTTCAAAATAAATAAAATGTTCTAAGCAAATAAAATGTTCAAAGTAAATAAAATGTTCAAAATAAATAAAATGTTCTTTACTGCAAGGTTCTATTTAAATTATATCATATATGTGCAAATCTGATTGAATCTGATTTGATCTATTTCGTTATTTTCAACAAATCCATATTTGGATCTGCTTAGATTCGTCCATCTCTGGTTTAACCTAATTTGATTTGATTAATGTTCCAGGTCAAATTAATATTTAGATTTGTCCAGATTTGATCAGATCGGATTTAATCTGATTGATTACAATAAAAAAATTGTGATTCCAGATCTAATTAGGTATTATCCGATTTGCGCAGATCTGATTCAATCAAATTTAATATCATTAATCATATTATATATATATATAATCAGATCTGATCAGATCTAAATTTTTTTTAGAAAATTAGTCTCATATTTCAGATCTAATCAGATCTGATCAGATCTGAAATCGTTTTTCACGGGTTTCCATAGTGGTACGTACGATTTCTTTTTTAAACTATTCTTTTCTATTCCTATGACAATATCATTAGTATATTTTTCTTTTATTCAACGTTTCTTTTCATAATGCTCATTTTTTGTTTCAACATTTCTCAGATCAATAGTAAACATGATGCTAATTGCTTCTTTCTTATAAGTAGTTGAAATATAGAATAAAGTCAATACAATCAGCAAACGATGTAAAAGTTCGTGAGTATGGATTTATGCAATCGTTTTTGTGGTTTGTATACATATTCACTAAGATTATATATGATATATGTTTTTCATTATTGAAATTTTTGTAGATGGAACTGCATACATCAAAACTCCGATGAATCATTCTTACTGTCATTATGCACAGCTGACAGATTATAAATTTTTATTCATGGGCAACAGTTATTGATATGAATTTCATCAACATACATATGGATTCAGAGAAGGATGAATAACCAGTCAACTTCATTCTACTTCTCCACAATTGCATCGAAATAATTCTTTTGTAGAAATTAAAACGGTTCATTTCAAAAGTTTGTATATAACGTGTAATGAATACAATTTTTTTGTATTTTTTCCTATTTTACCGCAAAGCAGTACTACATATGTAACGGTTCAATTATGATAAACTTCATATATCAATCACATTAGCATACATCTAACATAGATTCGTAATAATTAAAATGAATTGTACTCTTGTATTGCAATAATTTATAATATAAATAGATTGATAACAATCAACATATCTAACAACATGATTATCTTTAATTACACTTATGTAATACTTTTCTTCCAATCATTTTTATCATATACTTCATAAGATATCTTATATTTTTATTAATATCAATAATAATTGTCATTGTGATAATTGTCAATCCACCTATTACTTTTAAATATAAAAAATCTTTCCCTATATAAGATTTATTACAGATATCGTTCAGGTATTGTTCAAATATTTTTTAAAATACCTAGTCACAGATGAAGACATCTATCAGCTATATTCCAGACAACTTTGGGTTTAGTCTCATCAACCAATTATAAGTAATGATATTTATGTTTTTTCCGCATTGCAGTATAATTATTTTTTTGCTGGTAATAAACTGGAAAATTCGAGAAATTCATCAAATAGTATTTTTATTAGAAAATTCTTTGCCATAATTACTACACCAATTATCTAACTGTAAATTTTTCCATGCTTTTTTTCTGCGTCGAAAGTAATTGTAGACGCTGACTAAAACATTAGTTATACTTCTTCCAATAACAACATTTTTTCACAATACCAGTAGTAAGATTCGATAAAACCAGAAACGTTGTGTATGAACAACTCAGTAACAATTTTCCAGTCTTTGATATCAACTTCTTTCGGTTCACAATGAGTTTAGCATTAAGCAATAGCTTACTTCATTAATAGGACAGTTGGAGTACTAAGATATTTCCTTTCGTACCGGCCATTTTCTACTATTCAAATTGATAGTCTCAATCTTGTACTTTTCTGTTTAGATATATCATTATTTGTAATGTATTGCTATTGTAGTTGTACATGATTAGGTAAAATGACCATTTTAAATAATACATTAAATTTTTTTTACGATTTTCACTATTCGACAATTCCAAATTATCAAAATTTAAAAATATTGTTCTGCATACATTCTTTGAATCTGAGAGTTGATTGGTTAAACGTAAATAATTATTGGTGTCAATTTCAAACATATCATTACCTGCACAGAAAAACTATGTACAACGAAGTACAATGTTCTCGGTTATTTTTAATATACGATGTTTGTTTTTCATAGAATTTTTTTCATATAAGTTCGGTTAATCTTACACCCATTACTCTATCATTCAATATAGCACGCTGTTTTACTATTTAATAGCAAGAATTTTATCACATAAAATTTAAAACAAAATATTTATATGAAATGAAGCATCAAAATCACGTCATTCTATAATAAAATTTAATTCAAATTATGTCTTGACATAAAATTGATTCAAAATGTATAATAAGGAATAGAGTGAAGTTTCAATTATAATTATGTGTAGACATAATTTTAATTAATTTGTATTAGGTACCAACATAATTTTTTTGTGAATACATTTTCCATAGAAAAAAATAAATTTATTCAATAAGATTTGTCAGTACATAATAATAATTGACCGCGAAAATGTATGTTGGTGCATAATAAAAATTTTATTGATTACAATTTTGTCTCATCATATTTCCAATAGAATTGTATTTACAATGGAATTGTAAAAATTTTTTAAAGCCGAATAATGAATGTGAATTTTATTCATGTATATACATAATAGCAATTGATTGAATGAATAGTATACCAAGCTATCATAAAAATTCATGCTTTCGATTATATACTCCAATAATTTTATTTCACAGATTTATCATTATGTTAATACATAATTTAATTTAACTAATTAATAACCTAGCTTCATAAATACTCGGTCAATTTCATTTCCCGGGGAAGAATAAAATCGATCTAAATTGATCTACTGAGATCCATTTTTTGACACAATTAAATCTACTCCGTTCTGTGTACATCTGTTTCGATCACTTAGTCCGGTCAAATGAAGGAAATGGGATAATTTCGGTTTGCTGCGGCCAAAGTGATGATTTATAGATGACTAGATCGGAAATTTTGCGAGGAACACGATGGCGTAGGTCAAAAGTGTTTGGCACGCATAGGGGGAGAGTAAATCGCGAAAAACCGCCCCCCCCCCATCGTCAATTTTCGCACGTTCGTGATGACCGGAAGTCATCTACTTAAATTTTTTAAAAATAAAAACATGTAGTAAAACTAATTATTGAGGAGAGAAAAAATTTATTTCTCCCACACAATTACCTCCATCAAGCTAAAACTTATGAAGATGATGAGGATGATGAAGAGGATAAGGGCGATGAAGAGGATGAGGATGATAATACAAATGATGGTGACATTAATCATGATTACAATGATAATGAATAGTGATAGAAAATGTCTAAAATATATTGGAGGAGACGGAATCGATATATCACAAAGTAAGAAAACGAAAATAATAGCGAATGGGATGCTTCTTGAAGAAAAAACGGACTGTATTGATAAAACAGCGGCATCCTTTGCTGATAAAAATACAAATAAGAAACGAAAGCAAGATGTATGCTCAACAGTTCTGAAGAATAATGAACAGCAGTCGAAATCACATTCCGAAGATACCGGTATTAAAGACATACAACCTATAGATCCAGGAAATAGAAGCATTATAAGAACACAAGATTTCATTAGTGAAATGTTAAGAATATGTAGTAGTGGAGAACACCATCCATTTGATTGCGCGTCCAATTACATGAAATTTGTTGGTGAATTAAATTATGGATTGAAGAAGATATTTAAATTTCATTGTAAAAATTGTAATATGAGCTGGACAATTGATTCGGAAGCAGATGATGAATATTTGGATCTAAATTTCAGTGCTGTTGCTGGAATAAAATCCGCTGGAATGGACGATATTGAATTAGAAGAAGTCTGTAGTTTTGCTGGTATCCATTGCATGACAGAAAAAACATACCAAAACATTAGTGTAGATTTAGACGATATATATTCTGAAATAGCAAGAAATGAAGTAGTTGAAGCTGGAAAAGAAGAGAGAAAACTTGCAGAACAATTGAACTCAATAACCGACGATCATTTAACTAGTCCAATTATAATCGATGGAAGTTGGAGTAAAATATCATATGGATCACAAGGTAGATCGAAAATAGGCTCAGCTGTTGGAATCGGTGATCGCACTGGAAAAGTACTGTTCTATAATTATCGAAATAAGTATTGTATGGAGAGTGATATCATTGCCGAAGGCTTCCGAAACAGCATAAAAGATCAAGGATTAGTTTACAATCAAATGGTTGCTGACGGTGATAGCAGTATATACTCAAAAGTATTTAAAAATATAATGAGAATGTGTATGGCCATGATTAAAGCTTCAGAGTACAGGAGAAATGAAGAAAATACTACTTTTGAGGCAAACATTGCGAATATACAAAGTGACATTAAGAATATTCCAGCCCATGTATTCGGTGATCATGAGAAATGCGCCAAATATTTTTGCAATGGTCCAAAAAAAGATGAAGTCAACTTGGTACCAGAATTAACAGTTGTCGGTTTATTTGACTTTGTTACAAATATTGTCGATAAGTTTAGTTGAAGTGCAGAAAGCATTTTACGCGCAAAAGTTCAAATCGCGTTGAGTTTTTCGATTCTCTGATCAACAAAAAAATTGGTGGTCAAAGGAAATGTGTATCTCAGAAAGGCTTATACCGAGGAAAATTAGCAATGATAGTTGTTCAATTTAATTCACAAAAACCAGCAACCAGGCTAAATGAATATTTACGCAAAGTCACACCTGAAACTGCGATT